CCTTCTATACTGTAATATTGTACAAGGCCCCTTTTTGCATTTATTTTCTGTTGTTATTACTATGTTCCTCTGAGGTGACCAGTGGTAAGTTGTAAACTGCTTTATATTGTTTTCTAAGTCACATAGCCTTGGTCTTTCAGATCTTTTCTGTTGGTAAGGGGGTTTATATGTTTCTATCTAAAGTGCTCATTTTCCATTTGATATGTGGTTAGAAATTAACAAGCCAATAAAACCTCAAAACAGGCACACATTTGGCTCAGGCTGCTTGGCATTTGTTCATCCTATGTAGCTAACCAAAGAAAGCCAATCCAGACACAGTATTCTTCCATTAGGTCCTGGCAGCCAGAGTGGCATTGCAAAGAAACTTAGACATATTTCTTGTTGCATGTGTAAGATCAAGCTTATTTTAACTTCTTGGCTCTGGTTCAGGTAATCAATATCTGGTTTGGATCAAGATTGGCTATGATTTTTTTATATTGTCTGCATAAGAAAAGATCTCAAATATAGAGAAATTCAGACTGATGATACATTTAAAAGGCACTGTGGTTTCATTTATAGCCAGTAATCAGCTTTTTCAGTTCATTGCCTTTTTTGAAGTATTTGAAAACAAGGCCTATTTAAGAGTCAGTCAGATTTGGGTCACAAAATTTAAACTTCAAATAGAAATTTAAAACAGCTGTGTTTAAAATATTAAAGACAATTAAATGTATCCAAATGAGCTGGGAAACAGTATTCTTTTTTGTGGCATAAGACATATCTGCCTTTTGTTAGAAAACAAGACAGGCAGCAATTCCTTTCAGTTCTGTGTGGAATCACCAACAGTACAGCTATGATTGATGTATGAAATACAGCTCCTGTTAGGTCAGATGTAATGTTGCATTAACACATCTACACTCTATTTCAGCTATATACTGAGCAGAAATGTTGAGTTGTGTTCCATGTAAGTCAGGGATCTGTGATCTATGCATCATGTGTCACAGCTTGATGCAGGTATGACTGAAGACATCTGAACACAGGAACTGGCGCCTTTCAGGAAGCCTACAATTGTATCAGTTATTTCAGCAAACATAAAAAGTGCAAGCATTTTTAGCATTGCAGGAATTGATGACACAAACATTCAGGTTGTTAAACACCTCTAAGAACATAATTTAAATGTCTCTTATTTTCCAGCAGCTGAGTAATTATTCCCTGGTAAATCTTGTTTAAGCAATACTGTATAGCACTTGTAGAAAATTGCCTTCACTTTTATAATCCTGTAGTTCTTTAAACCAGTGTATTTGCACATTCATATGCATATAATTACATCCATCTGCTATAATGAGATCAAAGAATGTTTATTCTAACTGTTAATCCAAAATGAAGTCAATAGTTGCACCAGGTTGTCACTTAAAAGCTTAGAGACTGTTCTTTGATTTTGCTCCTGTCAGCCAAAGATTATATTTGGAATTAATTAAATTTTTGGATTTTTAAAATTGTAGCTGTAATTGCATTTCAACCCTTCAGCTTGAATACAAATGCTGCATTTGGGGTTTTTTGCTGTTTAAAAATCAACATTGCTTCACAACTGACAAACAGTGAACAACTTTCTTTTCCAAATTTAGCATGAATCAGCAGATGTTTCTGAGTAATGATTACTCAACCAAGTAGTCTCAGTTAAGTTAGCTAAAAAGACCCTCAAAATGAATGAAGTTAGGTAATAGAAGATTTCCACTGTGACACTGGTATGTATTATAGGAAAACAGCTTGTAGTGATTCAGTCCCATTTTAAGTTAAGAGGATAAATAATTTTGTCCAAATACATAAGAAATAAGTCAGTATAGAAGGACTCCAGAAGGCAATCCAGCTCCATTCCTTCCAGTAGCATCCCAAGCTAGGAAGACAATGCTCTGTTCAGATGAGTCCTGACCCCTGGAAGCACACCACATTAAGCTTGGTGGCGGTCCATCCTCTCTGCCCTTGCATGCATAGTCCTTTCTCAAGAACAAAGCTCTAAACTTGCCAGAATCAGCTTTGGTGCGTTTATGGACTCAGCTGGAGGTCTTATGTTTGTTGGCTTGCCTAATGCAAGGTTACTAGAAGATATGTGAAATTTCAGATATGCACATCAGGATTTTAAAACTTGGATATTCATATACATGGATATTCATACACATTTTAAGTGACGTTGTAACTTGTGGAATTTTTACAAATTGTATTCACCCTTTTCAATTCTTAGTACTGATTTTATCAATTAGACCTTACAACAGCTTTAAGAAAAGGAAGATGCAGCTCAGTAGTTTTGGAGAAATTATTAAATAATGCTAGACTTTGGACAATGTGCGCTCACTGCCGAAATGAAAAGGTAAGGCAGAAATCGTGGTCTTCTGGAGAGGTCAAACGAGGACATGAGCTCCAGGACTGGCGCGCCATCTCGTGGTGACACCTGGAAGGGTCAGGCAGGGTGTTCATCTGCTCGCCGAAAGGATTGCTGCTGTGTCAGTCACCGGGTTATCACTGCCACGGTAAAGATTGTCAAAAATACACTTATTAAAGGACTAAATGAGTTCTCAGCGTGTCAAAAGTTACTGCCACCAATTTTTGACAGTTTTACGGCTGTTGGAAAATAGTCATCTCACGAACGTCAGCACCATGATTTAGACATTCACAGTAAATCACTTCATCTTCACAGCGGCATGCTCCCGTGGCAGGGATCTTCCACGTTATCTCCCAAATAGGTACGAGATACGGAAATGTTTGAGGCAGTGACCGCGTTTTAGGAGTCTCTCAGCCCGTTACAGGTAGAAATAGCAGCTGGTACAACAGACGCGTTAAAGAATCGCGTTTGTTATTTCCTGCCTGCTGCATGCCCATCATCACCTGCCGTCCCTGTGGGGCATCCCCTTGCTGTCCGGCGCTCTTTGTTCGCGCGTGGGGGCCTTTCGGGGCGGTTCGTGGGCGCCGGGCGGCGGCCGGGCCCCAACCTGTTGCTTTAAGGGCGGGCGGGGCGGGGCCGCGCGAGCAGCGCGCGCGCCATTGGCCGTGGCGCGGGGCGGGCGCCGCCCCCGGCACTCACCGCGGCGTCCCTCGCTCCGTGTCAGGCAGCCGCGCGGTGCGCATGCGCGGCGGGCGCTGCGCTGGCCGCGGGGTTGGGGCGAGCGCCGGGGCTGCGGCGGGCGGGGAGCGGGAGCGCGGGGAGCGGGAGCGCGGGGACCCACAGCCGGAGCCGGCAGCAGCCGCAGCCGGCCGGAGCAGCAAAACAGAGGATGCCTGCCGCCCGCTCGCCGCTTCTCTGCGCGCCCGCCATCTCCTCCACGTCCTCATGAATTAGGGCTGCGCGGTGGGGGTGGGGGACGGCAGCGAGCGCCCCGGCGAAACCGGCGCCCCAGGCATGGCCGGCTCGGTGAGTGAGTAGCGCGGGTCTCCTCCAGCCCTCCGCCCCGCGCTGCCCGGTGCCGCCGGGAAGGGGCTGGCGTGACCGGGAATTTCTCTCCGCGTGCGGCTTTCCCTGCCTCCCGCTGCTCGCGGCGGCGCGCACGCCCTTGGATGGAGCCGTGGTCCTGCCGCCGCGGCGCGGGCAGCGGGCGCGGGGCGCCGGGGCGGCACGGCGCGTCCTGACAGCGGGCCCCGCGTCGCCTCCCCGCGCTCTCCCGGTGACACCGAGAGCTGTCCTACGCCCTCGCCTGTGGGGCCGCTTTTCTGTTGTTGCAGCGGTGCCTCGCTGGCTTTGGCAACTCTCCCCCCCACCAAATCCTTTCTGCCGTGTTTGTGGTACGGCTGTGTCCGTGTGTCCCGTACTGCCCGCGGTGGGTCCGGTTCCCCGCGGTCGCCAGCCCCGTCTCCGTTTGTTGGGGCGCTCACCGGCCGCTCCCCTGCTCTTCCCCCGCAGTGTGCCGTCCAGGTGAAGCTGGAGCTGGGGCACCGAGCCCAGGTCAGGAAGAAACCCACCGTGGAGGGCTTCACCCACGACTGGATGGTGTTTGTCCGAGGGCCTGAGCACAGCAACATTCAGCACTTTGTGGAGAAAGTCATTTTTCACCTGCACGAGAGCTTCCCCAGGCCGAAAAGAGGTAGTGGGGTCATCCCCTGGGATGAGCGCTTGGAGGCGTCCCGGAGCGGGCACGGGCGGTGGGTCTGTGCCGGTCTCGGCGGAGAACAAAAGCAGTCGCCAGTGCGGTGTTGGGCTGCCGGGGCTCTCTCCCGCCGCTTGTAGGGCTGTCCGGGGTCAGGAGGGGCTTCTCTCTGCCCCTTCGCGCACTTGCTGCCGCGGGGACGTCCGCTCCCGGTTGCCTGAGGTCGCAGAGCTTGGTCCGGCCGTGGCTCTGGGTCCCGACCCCTTCTGGTCTCTCGGTGGTGGGTGGCACGGAGTTAGCTTCTGTCCCAGCGTACGTCCTCACTGGCGATTTTTGCCCACGTGTTACTTCCTTCTAGCTGGTGTTGTTTTCTCCCAGTGTCCTGTATAACTGGAAATAGGGATGCCTGTACATGTGTTACTGTTCCTATTTTGATTCCTTTGACACCCTGCTTGTTCACCTCCTGGGTTTCATCTTTTTGTGAGTACATAAAAAAGTCCCAAAAGTTGCATTTGTGGTGCATACGTGGTGCATTTGTATCCAATACAAGTCTGGCTGGGAGACATGTAAGAAGCCTTTTGTTTTCAGATCTGTTTCCAGAGCCTTTGCTTGTCTTGATTATTGTAGTGGGATTGGTTGAGGTAACAGTACAAATAATAGAAGTGAGCAGGTTTATTTATCTATACAGACAAAATACTTAGGCATTATCTTTCATTTGATCTGTAATCTTTATTGGCATCTAGTACTGCTCCAGTTCCTTAGAACAACATCATCATAAATTGTATCTGCTTGGAGCTAGTGGGGGATAAATTGAATGTCCATGGAGCAAAAGAGAGGAAAATTTTGAGTGTTGAGATAAAAAAGCTTTGCTTTGTGGTAGGATAAAAACATATAGTTTGATTTAACGTTTCACAGTTGGAAAATATCAAGCTGTGACTTTTTTTATATCAGTGACTTTGTTTTGTCTAGAATACTTATCTTAAGCATCAGAGTGTAAGAATTACATTATTTCAGCTCCAGAATTTATCCTCTGAAATACAGGCTATTAATTCCCTTCTGTTTTCCTACTGTCAGTGAATTTTTTGGATTTGTTTAAATCTGTGCAATACTACGCAAACAGTTTTCAGTGAATTGTATGAAATACTGCTGTGTTATTTTTGAATTAAATTGCCCAGCTTGTCCTGTGAGTCCTCCTCTTGCTTTCTTCTCTTTCTTATGCAAAAAACATGACTTTAAGTCAATCTAAATAGTTTGGCAGAAAAACTCCTGACAACACATCTAAGAAGCCTAAATAGCTGAGATAGTATTATTCATATTTAATGAATTAGATGATGTATCATTAAATCAGTGGTAGAAAGTGTGGTTAATAATTGAAGCCTGGTCTGCACAGAGGTTGTTGGTGGTCCTCTCTGCTTTTATTATCTCTGCTATATTTGTTTACTTGCTGAAACGTGAATCCACTTCCCAAATACGGTTGCTAGGTGTGATATGGAGCTGGCTAATAAGAATATGGTTCAGGACTTTTGCAAGTGAGAGATATATAATTTGCTACTTGCATTGTGTCTCCAGCTGCTGACTTCAGTTACACAGTCATTTAAATAATTTTTTTAAAGTGTTTATTTTGGTGGTTTTTTGGTTTGGTTTTTTTTTTTGTTTGTTTTTTTTTTTTTTTTTTTTTTTTTTTTTTTTTTTTTTTTTTGTATGCATCATTTTCATGATGTGGCAACTGCTGGGAAAGATGCCCTCTTGTATAGCCTGGGAGGGGACTTGTGCAGTGCTTGTACCTGCCTTGGATTGTAGGAGAGCTCTGCAGCCACTCTCATTCAGCAGATTATAACCTGGATGGCAGGCACTCCATTCACTCTGGGCTTTGCTTAGCCTTCTGAAACTACGGATACTGAAGAAATTTCAGGTCCTTGAAATTACACTGGGGGAATGATCCATGTGTGAATTACCTAGAACGTTTTCTGCTATTGTAAAGTGTTCAAAAGGATGGTGGGAATGTGTGCCTTGTAAGTGGGAGCAGTTTGTCTTTCTACTTTAGAAGTATTGTTAAAATTTTTGACAGAAGTATTCTAAGGTGTTTTTTTTTTTTGTTTCTGTAAATCAGTGCATTGGTTTGATACCTCAAGTGTTGCATATTTAATAGGAACGATATCTGTGTTTGAAGTGTTAGTCAAACTATCTGTTTTCACTTTGTCTGCAGTTACATACTTTATTATTTTAGCCTAGGATAACTTACCGCTTTGAGATACTCGGTAATTTCACAAACTTTTCCTGAGCCATGGGTTTAGCATGCTGAAATTAGATGTGTAAGATTAATCAAAAGCAAGTACTAGTATGCTGGCTAGCCATTATAATACCTAGTTCTCTGATAAGTGTTGTTTTTGTCTCTGCATTCGTGATAAGAGTGGCTGCTCTGAGATGTATGCATGTTAGGAAGAATTTTAGTTCATTTGGTCTATCTGTAAAGCTCAATTTGAAACTAATGAATCAACAAGCTAAATAGGTGTTATTAACTCATAAAGTATTTCTGGTACTAGATCACTTTTTATTAGGGATACAGTAATTCCAGCTACCAGAGGAGGCAAGGGAGATAAATTATTGCCAGGTCATTTGCTTTGCAAATTTATGAGAATACCTGGATAAGCTGTCAGTTTGGCAGCTACAACTATGGCTTTGCTTATCTGTTTATGCTAGAAATTTTGGAAATACTAGATGTTGGCAGTGAGTTTGCAAAGGTGTGTCCAAGTGTTTGTTCTGCTAATTGTTGCTACAGAGCAAGCAGGGTCCTGTATCCCAAAGTTGCATTAGTTTTAAGGTGGCAACATTACAGGGGTGGTGTTCAGTCACTTGGGTGCAGAGAAGGTTGTTTTGTGTGTGTTGGCAAGATGGAGGGGTGATGGTGACTAACAGGGGACAAAGTGTAGATAAGCTTTTGTGAGCTAATAAAATAGTATTCTTCATCTTTCAGTCTGTCTCACCTTAAAATCTTGAGCGTGCGATGGTGGTTTAATTGCTTTCTGTATCCCTTATGATAGCTGAGTGCCTAAGTTTATCCTTGCATAGTGGAGCATACAGGAGTGTGCAGTGATTTGTCCTTTTTACTTCATCCAGTTCAACGGTCTGCTCTGCTGATTTCCATAACTAGTTTCATGGGGTCTGGCAACTGGACTGCTATCACATTATAGAGAGTAGAGTCATACCCAGACTCAATTTCGGGTAGTATTTGCAAGACAAAAGCTCGCTAGGATCATTGTGCAATCACAAATGCTGCTATTTGCAAATCTTGTCTGCTGATGTAAATTGGTTGAGAGAAGATATGGAGAATTTTTAAGATTCTACCTTTGTTTCAAATCATGTGCTGCTTATGTTTCATCATTCATGTGAAAAAACATTGTCCTGTGTGTAGAAGTGAAGTGTTTTAAAGCATGTCTGTGAAACAAGGTGTGTCATCAGATTGTGGTTAGTTTTGATCCACTGCTATACTGCCTCTGAAAGAGGAGTTGTTCTTCTTGCACCGTAATATGTCTCATTAATTGCATGGATGATAGGCAATGTAGAAATATTTTCATCTCCTTGCCCAGCGAATTCTGATGCTCTTCAACAGTTGCCTGACTTACTCTTTCTCTTACAGAATTTCAGTTGGATAAGGAAACATATCTTTTATATTTTGACGTCTCATAAACACACCTCAAAAATGGCATTGGAACTAGTGTGTTCTGAATGGTTAAATTTCTGCTAATCGGTGGTACTTTTTGACAAACTAAATATTTCATATTAAATAAAAAGGGCGTGCAGTATTTCTGTGTTAATAACTTAGGCAATGTGAAAATGTTGGTTTGGTTACTGGAATGTAACTTTAAAAATGGGAGAGATTGCTTTTCTCTGTGGAGCTGAGAGCAACACTGTTTAGTGCCTCTCTTAGCTCAGTAAGTTTTACAATTATATGGCGAAGTGGTGGAAGTAAAGCTGCTTGGTATTCTGGTACAGGAAGGACTAGCTGCAGTTGTCTTCTAGAATGTTCACATTTCCAGCACTGGTTGTTTTCATTAAGGTAGTCTGTTATGCAGGATGAGATTTTAGTGAATCTTAACAGATTGAAATGTATTTAGTTACTGTACAAGATGCCTTTTACTATTCTTGTTAAATTATTTTTCCTTTTCATGATTTTTAACTGCAAAATAACACATCTTTAGTGCTCCATTAAAAGTCAATGAGTCTTAAGTCTATTAATTTTACTGAACTGAGTGATTTGAGCATAGGGGTCCATAAGCAGATTCTTCGCAGATGATTGAAGCTTTCCTTTCAGACCAGCTAGTGAAGGCAGACCATCAAGATTATTAAGCAGGCAATCAGTTTTATGATGTGTATTTTATTAGAATATTTAGCTACACTTTTAAGAACTTAGATCAGTTTTAGGTCAGTTTTCTTTGCTTTTTTCCCTCTTAAATTTGCCTGAGCCTAACCATCTAAGTATGATAGGCACACATGAATTTCTTTTTCGTCAATCTAACAGATACAGGTTTGATACTGCATCTTTTAGGACACTTATGGCTCTTAGCTGCAAAACGGTCACATGGAATGACTGATATCTAGTGAAGAACTTCATTTGTTTAACAGGAAACGCTTCAGACTTAATTTTGCTACTACTGAGTCTGAAGGTGAATGGCTTTGAGAATACATGTGTGGTTTTAGGTGCACTTTCTAATTCAGCCAGTAGCAATTCAAAAGGGCATTTCACAGACTTAAAAGACAGTGTAAAGTGTTTCAATATAGAAAAGCTATCATGTGTTATATTTGCATGAGTGGTATCAGTAAATAATTGGTGGCTTTGATTTTAAGATACTATGTGTACAGAAAACCCAGGTTCTAATAAATAATTTTGCCTCATTGGTATGACTCAAAAAATAATCACATTCAAAGCCAATATTTAGGCTTTTTTTAGATGTAAACAGTGTGGAAAAAACTGGGAAATAATAGGGGTGCTTCATCCT